GGTAAAAATGGAGAAAGTCTTACGTAGAAATATCACTACATACCTCAGCTGACACCTACATCAAAGTAATAATAATTGTACAATATAGACATAACAGCTACAATAAGGGAGGTTTACTATTTTCAAGGAATTATTTCGTTACTTTTTAGTGTGTTGCTTTTTGTTTGAGAATGAATATTTTTCCGACTTCCACACAAAATAAACTAAAAAAAAATTCTGTTTAGTGTATTTTGAAAGGAAAGGAAGAAGTGGAACCGTTTTTTGTTATATTTCTGAGTACACACAGCAATTTCCTAATTACGTGAGTAAATAAGTATGTCAAATACCGAAGTCCTTGTTTATTTTGTCATGAAGGAAATACTTCCAGTTGCACAAAATACATTAAAACTAAGGGCTCGGTCATTGCAATTTGAAATGAATAGGTAATAAAACAACTATCTACTAGAAAAATATTTTTAAGTCAATTATTGTTTAACAATTTTTTGAAATTACCAAACTAATAATATTATACATGTACATGTTCCCCTTGAAAATAGGGAATTTCTTGAGTTAACTAATGGTATCACATCTTCGTTACAACAATGGAATAACATTAAAAAACCAAACTTAATACGTAAGGTAAAGAGGCGAAGTGAACCGACAAGCTATGTCACTATTACCCTGACATTAAATGTCACTTTTATTTTTCAACGATTGCCGGGTGCCAAAAGAATCATGTACATCTATAGCAGCGCCTCTTAAACAGAGCTAGATATTAAAAACAAAACCACGATCTGTGGTTGCAGCCATTTCGTTATGGTTTTGTAGTTCTACAAGTTTCATTGAGTTCGATTTTATTTCACATCTACGTCGTTATAAATACCAGCAATTAGTTTGCTGCCATTTTGTTTATTACACTCTAAATAACCAGGCGTTCGTTGCAGAATTGAAGAAAACATCATGGATGTCAGGATCAATAGCCATCACATGTAATATTTTATTCTTCTTAAATAATTAGTTGTGTATTTTGACATAGATAGAAAAAATCAATATCGAACGTTTTGGAAAAAAAAAACGTTTTATGGTACAAAATAGACATTGTTTTTGCTTTAGTGATTAGAATTAAGTTATTTTGTGATTTTTTTCATTTTCACGTATAAATGTTTAACATTCTAACAAATTTCAGACTGATGTATCCTTTACCTGAGGGATGGTCGACAGGGTATTGCGTTGTCACCAAAAGATACTACTACATCAACAATCATACGAACAAAACACAGTGGAATAGACCAATCGCTCCAGCACCCCGCAAGTACTCCGTCGCAATAAAATGCAGTCGCATACTAATAAAGCATAAAGATGCGGATCGTGAGTCCTGGCGTCGAAATTATATAACGCGCACGAAGAGAGAAGCATCTCATTTGATAAGCAAATGCTATGTATTGATAACATCAAAGCAGTTCACATTTGAAGAGGTATCCTATAAATATTCAGAATGCCTATCAGCACGTCGAGGTGGAGATGTTCAATGGATGCACTTATACACAGCGAACCCCTATATCAGCAACTTCACTTTCAACCTTGAGATAGGTGAGATCACTTTACCGATCGAGACGCAGGATGGTTTTGAAATTTATATGAGGACAGCTTAGGCATCTTCATTATGAGGTCCTTAAAAAATATTAAGGAGATAACTATTTTTGAGCCCACACCGTATGGAAAAAATATAAACATAGCGGATTATCTATAACTTGAACCATGTTAAGTCCAAACCCTCTGTAACAAAAAAAAGCAGTTTACTTCCACTGAACCCTCAAATACTCGTTTAGTACATATACTCCATAGCTGAAATATGAAAATCAGTAAATTGGAATCTGTCAAACTATACCATCAAATTCTCCACATTTCAAACTTCTCTTAAGTTGACAGTGTTTATCCATTTAATTTGACATATGAAATGTTGAGATTCCTCCATATTAAAAATCAAATTTAACATATTGCAATCAAGCTTTTCTTCTAAATCTCAATGCAATTGTGAGATTTTAGATTATAACTTCTTGATTCAGCTATTTCTAATGGCAAGGCCCACCGTTTGCTCCGCTTAAAAACTATTGAATTATTTTCACTAGTGTAAAGATCACAAACACAAAAATAAACATTTATTTTCCGTTTACTAGCGGGCCTAAGCCTAAACACAAACAAAGATATTGTCTCCTTTCAAAGGTGTATTAATTACATCCTGGTTTCATTCCATTTATTACATAATTGTTAATTTAATTGATTACCTTAAATTGTTTAATTAAAGAATAATTGTTGCATTATAGTCAAGTAATTTGGACGAAAACAACTTAGGAAACATGTTATCGATGTTAGTAAGTAAGTTATTAGATTGATGTATACAATTATTTGTGTTTAGTAACTATAACTTAAACTAGTCAATTTCAAATTACTGTCATGAGCATAGTCATTTAATGATTGTTACAACTTTGTGACACTTAAGTACCAAAGCTTGAGAACAAATATGCAGTATTAGATATGCAAATTTCCTTGCTTATCAACCCCTATGCACTCGAGAAGATACCCTTTGCTATAGTTATTAAGGATGTTTTTAAAAATCAAATCTTGATGTTTAGGCACTCTGCTTTCATTTGAAGTCATATGACATGTAGAGTAAGAGAAAAATTAGTTGATAGACCATTTGTTAGATCTGATAAAGCTTTACCTATCAAAATGCAACTCAATGTTAAATTAGGTCGTAGATGTGTGACTATAATTTTAAATTTGTGATTACCCCCATATTATACCTACTTTTCAATTTTTCGTAGTGCATAGTAAATTTTGTTGATAGTGCCATACCCAAAATATTGTACCGCATACTATTGGATTGCCATCCTTATTTTGTTTATATTTTTTGAATGTGCATTTAAAGACTTAGCTAATGTGATATATATATAAGAATTCTTTTAATATATAATTTATGTTATTTTATTTGATTATTGGGTAATTATGTTGATGTATTATTAACAAAAGTTATACTCGTTCCTAGATTTAACTAATAATGTTCTATTTTTTATTTACTTTGTTGTACATCATGTCTAAATATTTATATTTTTTTCATGTATGAATATGTTTGTTTCATGCCAGCATGTATTTGATACTTGTTTAGCTCTATTTCTAAGTATGACTTGTGAATCTGAGATTATTATTATAAAATGTTTTTAAAACTCAAAAAAGAAATCTAAAAGAAATAGTTAAGTTCCTTAAGACTGATTCAAAGTATTATTTGTTTTTCCTTCAAAAGTTGCAATTTATTGTAAATAACTTTTTACTATCTGATTGTATTAATATTAAATATTATTACAGATACTTATAGGAAGATATTCTAGTCATTTTTCTATATTTGTAGATGGCGTAGAAATATGTAGAAATCCACGGTACTTATTTAAATCGATTGAAATATGATTAAAAAAATCAAGCCATTCCATACTAGTCATTTATTAAACTTGAAATTGATGTTAGTTATGAGAAAGTATTGTCTTCTTGTATTTTTAATTACTAATTAATTCTGTCATAATAAAAGATTACAATTTAAAGTTTATTGGTCTGCAAAAAATCTAGTTATTCTTTCAACATGAACATGAATATTTCCCTTTCCCAAAGATCCTCTCACCTACTATATCTCGCTGCTCTTATAAAAAGAAAGGTAAGAGGGCTTAGCTACTACATAGGTTTCCAGCACACATATCAGGCCTCTGCTTATACTCTGTGACCGTGGCATTGCATCGGTCAAATCAGCATTTGTGCAATAGCTAATAATTTAGACTACCATTTAAAACTTGTTATTAAGTTTTACATTTAACTGTTAGTTCTCACTGTGTAATATAAAATAGATTTTTAAGGATTCAAAAAACAACAGAAACAAAGCTTAGTAAAGTAGGTATTGGCAGTTCGTTTCTTCGTCACTTAAGTATAATTTACGCGCAGATGGCAATCTGCGACACGTACTTTTGGGTTTTTGGATGTTTCTCCTGGGTCCCACCTGTTGACGTAGCTAAAAATCTTGTTAGATTTTTTATCCAAATAGAGTTTGTAAGGACAAAACTATGTTTGAATATAGTTTTGAAATTCGTCTTTTCGAGCCTCTTATTTGTGTTGTACCAAATATGTTATACAAAGAGTTGTATATTAACAAAACCCATGATTCCAGTATGCATCAAATCTTTGTATTCCTCTAGTATAGGTACTTAATTACGCGACGGGACGGAGGTGATTGGGTTAAATCGTCATATTTCTGACCAAGAAATGTGTATTGTAAAGAAAAATACAATACAGACAACACTATGTTGTTTGCATAATATTTGTAGTCCATCCATATAAGTACATTACAGTCAATAACGACACAATATCAAAGTCCTCGTCCATGGCTTGTCCCTGTATTGATCGGGGCACACCGTCAAAAGGTTTGCTATTAGCAGTAATCTGAGATTAATTTTTTTGATCGTAAAATTCGTGTATTATTATGGTGGGAATAATTTTAAAATAGCATTAGCTTTTGATCTAAGATGATAGAAAAATTGGATGGCTTAAATATCTTGTATCTAGGCCATACATTAAAAAAAAGGATACCGGAAGTGACGCTTTAATTTCCAATCTCCTGACATTATTGATTTCCAGGGTTGGAATAAGTATGTTATAATTCCACGAGGATCTTTTGGCATGTTTATGATGTGGACTAGTGTAGTGAGCCCCTACCTTATAACCCATACTTGTAATATGTTTTATGCAACTAGAACCATCGCCTTCATGGCGGTAAAACAACAAGGATTTTAATTAAACATATATATTTACTTAAGTAATAAGTAAATCATTGTGTTCCTAGAAATATAACAAATACGATTTTGTATTCAAAAGGGAAGAATTCCCCTTAAATGTGTAAATATTCCCGTGCTGGTAACCCTAGGTAGACTTGTCAATGTCAAAAAGATGCCACAAGTTCCTTGTACACCTATACAAACGTTTTTTAAGGCCCTGAATCTAACCCTGTTTCGCTGCACCCCTCCTCCCGACTGCTCCCGACCCCGACCCGGTTCGCTCACTCGCAATCCTCCTTTACCAAGGGAGCTGCCGTCGGTGATAGATGGTACATAAATTACATTAAACTTAAATGATATATCTTAGTTATTTTTTCATAGTTTAGTAAGATGATGTTTTTAAAAACCTAATTATAGATAATTAAGTTATTTGTCAAGTGTTTTTAAGCAGTTTAGTTTGTGATAAGTGTTTTACTTTGTTAAAGATGAGCCCTGGTAAAAAACTGAAGATTCAAGTGAGGACTTTAGAAGCTGAAAACCATGATTTCGAAGTTAGCGATGAGGTAAGAAATTTTATGTTATAAATACATACATATTTATGTTTTTTTTTATTGATTTTCGTAAGATTAACAATAGAACCCAAATTGTTGCCAATAATATAATATAAATCTTGAAAAACATTTGGGCGTGTACTGCTTTCTTTGTCATAATGAAGTTTACTTGTCTCATTTTTATTATGTTACATTTCCATTTTAGTTTTTGTTATTCTTACAAAGGTTACACGTATTAGGCGCGATTTGTTACGCATGTTATTTTATTGTGGTATTCCGGAGCCCATACATCCACCCATACATGAAAATTTTCGCATTTACAATATTCGTGATTGCCATCTTCGAGACATATCGATCCGCGCATGGCGCATGCGACCTTTCGAAGTCGCCAATGTATTTAAGTCCCCAATCGATAATGGCCGGGACTAAAGCACATGCGCCGTAGGACACAATTTAACAAGGGTGGTACCTTTAAGAACTACCATCTACAAATAAAAACATAGAAACGAATTGAGAACCTACTCTTTTTTAAAGTCATTACAAGGATTTCTTCATAGGTCATATATTTTATTCTTTACTATTCATGGGTCTTCCTTTATTTAATGTGATGACCACACCCTATCAACAATTAGACAGTCAATAGTTCAAAAGGCAAATTTACATTATATTTCATTGACAAAAAACCATCATCAACCTATTTATTACAGATCAAATTGCTATAATGATATAAAAGCTAAATCAAAATGGGGTGGCTCCTTACAAAAACAATTATAACAAAATTGGTCAAATCTCAAGTAGGTTACTTAAACTAAGTAAGCCACAACTTTGATTAGTTGTTGCAATAGTAACCGACCATGGTCGTAACAACAAATTTTCGCGGATTCAGGTGGCTGCTGGCTCATTTGCCACCTTATGTTATAAAAAAAACACCAAAACAACTTAGGTATTATAGACAGTCCTCTATACAGAGTGTGCTTGGAGGAAGAAGAAACAGCATCAAACATACAATACTGCCAGCAATACCTAGCTATAGGGTTAGGTATCTTAGCTTGCGGAGACCTCTCCCAGAGATTGCCAGCACCTAAAATGTCGGAATAATCCATAACCTGTCCTAATGCAATATATGCGCTAGCCATGGGGTTATGAAAACATAGTACCTACAACTATTACCACTAGTTCCAGATTTATCCGTAATATAAAAAGTTGCTTTCTTGTTAAGCTGTACCACAAAATAATACAGACTCATGGCTGGCCTTTTAGATACAGTCATCGAGCTATTGAAAATTGTCATTTTCTTTTCACTTTTGGGCGCCTTTTTAAAATTCTTGAAATCTGATTCTTTTCAAAAATCAAACTACTTGGTTATCAATATGTCTGATAGAAGAGATGAACTGGTATCTATTTATGTGGATGTTACAAGAAGAAGCATTATTTTTTTAAGATTTGTCACAATAACTGATTACAGTTATGGCCGTAGCGCTTCATAAAGTTAGCGATGATCCTATGATTTAATGATTTAGTTATTCATAATAATTACTTCATGAATCCTATGGAATTCAAGTAATTATAGAAATCTTAAAAAGATGATTTCTTTTACTACTCAAAAATGGATAGTCTTTGATAGAGAAAAAAATCACATTTTTATTTGCAATTTAATAATGAATGAAGCAAAAGCTGTCATTTCCAAGTAATGTTCTACCCATTTATAGTAGACATTTGTGAATCAGCTCTGAACCAGCTCAAAAGTGCAGAATCAGTTCACACAGATCTGAACTGTTGAGTTAGGGCTCAACAACAAAAATTGCCATCTCATGGTTGAATATGATGTACTATGCGTACCGAGTCGCCATCAGTTGTGACTGAGCTCGAAACGCAAATCATGCCTATGCAAGTAAAAAATGAGATTCATTGTTCTGACATATATGAACTGTGAGCTTATTTGCATATCATCGATTTCAATTGAGTTACCTATGTCTACGTTGTATCTCCGCGCACACGTACGCAATGGTCTGCGCAATGCATACGGCGCATGCGCGCGTTCGTACCTGGGAGCACCGATAACCAATAAATGTGAACTACGCCCTACAGCTTTATTGATTTTATACCGGAACAAGAGACGCTAGCGTAACGACCGCCATTTCGTGTAGCTTGCACTATCACGCAATAGATTATCAAGAACCACATGTCAAGGCATAAATTTCTTAGACTAATAAGAATAGACTAATTAATAAAACAATCATATTTTTCACTTCAGTCCAGTTTGGATATCTGAATTTTCGAAATTATTAATTTCAATTACAACTTTTTTGTTATTGAAATAAAATAATTAACTAAATATTTACAAAAATATTATAAGAATTAATTAAAAAGACAGAAAAGTTTCTTCTTGAAACTGTTATGTCTATGTTGTACTTGGAAATATGTACGTGGTTTTCCTTTTTTTAAAAGTTTCTCCTTTTTTAAGATAACCAGAATATAATATTGACAAGTTTTTGTCCTCCAAATAACTCTATCATACGTCATCTCAGGCATCACTCGCTTTTTGATCATGTCACCTTCCACGCAATCCATCCATCTCTTTCTAGGTCTACCTCTACCGGTATACCCTACCACACTCATAACTAACATTCTTGTAACATGTTCTGCATGTATGGTGCTAAAAGAATAAAATGAAATATCATTTATTTTCGTCATGCAGTTGTACATATGGTACACAATGACTAAGGTCTTAAACATTTGTTCGCAGATCACCGTCGAAGAATTTAAAATCCTTATTCTTGAGGAAATGGGCATAAACATCGATGCCCAGCGCCTTATCTTCTGTGGGAAAGTACTACAGGATGATCGGTTGTTGCGGGAATATAGTATGTATGAAGAATAATAATAATTGCAACCATTTGATCATTAAATAAAAAATGAACAATACTACTTGAATATTATGACACTACTGAGGAATGACAAACTAATAACACCTTCAAATTAATTCATTCTACAAGACTGATGGAAGTTTTTATAAAATCAAAGTAGACAGAAACATGCAAACATATCATACTTTATACTTCATACTGATATTATAAATGCGAAATATTAGATGGATGGATGGATGGATGTTTCTTACGAGTTTGTAGCCTAAACGGCTGAACATATTTCGATGAAATTTGTTATAGATTTAGAGGATAATCTGGAAGAATACATAGGCTCTATTCTCTCTTTTGTTTTTTAAATTCCACGCAAACGGAGTCGCGGGCGAAAGCTAGTAACTAATGTAATAAAGTGTAAACACACATTTCCTTGTATGTAGCATGACAGCAATCACAATATATTGTAAAATAATTCTTTTTTTTTTAAATAAAAAGCCTTATTTTTACAAGCTTTATAATTATTGTATAAATTAGAAATTAATTCCATGCGGGAAAGGAACCAAAACTACAAGCCATTAGCAGAAAAGAAGCAAGATTGCCATGGTACCAGTAATTGTTAGCCAATGGCAGAGGCCTTCGTTGTCATTAGAAGTTTGATATTTGCATTTGAAAGTTTAAACAATGAATTAAGGTTTTATAGTTTCATGCGGATGAATTCGCACGGGAACAGTTAGTATAATAAATCCGTCAAAAACTCCGCAACACTAATTTTGTCTTATATTGAAAAACACAATGCCAACAATAAAAAAAAAACAGTTATACACCAAGCTGCCTTACCCAAGAGGTTTATAATAAGCACTATAAAATTATACTTTAACGTCGCTTTAACGTCTTCGCACGAATGGTCGGGCTCGCCCGGTGCAATACCACGACCACACAAGACAGGAGTAATGTGGAAACAATCTCGCGTCTGCGGAGTGTTGCGGAGGCCTAATTTTAGTCCGGAATACCGATTAACAATATGTATAATTAACATAGAATTCATGTGTATTAAAAATTATTTCAAACACCATTTTACCCATTTCCAAAACAGCTTCCGAATTGTATACTTCCCTAGGAATAGTATACAATTCTTAGTTATCACACATTTCTTATAACATTATGAAATGTCAGCTGTAGGGTTCGAGCAATCTGTGCTGCATTTGGTCCCGAGGGCGCCACCGGAACCGGGGTCAAGGCAGTTTAGGCACTACGCCGAACCCATTGAACCAATCGAAATGTATTTATCTTCTGGGTCCCAAAGTGCAGACGGTCAGGGCCCTCGCCAAGACGACCGCGGGTTAAGGGTAAATATACCTCATGCTAATATTGTAAATGCGAAATTTTAGATGGATGGATGTTTGTTAGAGTTTGTAGTTTAAACTGCTGAGCGAATCTTGATGAAATTCGACATAGATGTAGAGTATAGTTTGGTAGACACATAGGCAACTTACTTTTTAATTTTTCGCGGAAGGAGTCGCGGGCGAAAGCTAGTTTTTAATAATTTACAGTATAGTCTGTTAGTCTAATTGTCATTAGTCGTTTATAAGGCTCATTTAGCGTATATTTCATATGAGAATTTTAAATAATGATCCCTAACCTAACATTTAAAATGTAATTTATAGGTAATGTTTTATCGGTGATTATATCATATAGTCAAACAAGGCTCAACAAGGACATCAGGCTCGGTGATAGATGAGATGCATGTATTTACTTCTGTAAGAAAAGATGTAACATCTACATGGGCATGGAAAATGAAGTAATATAAAAATACATGACATTGATGAGTGAGGTATTAAATTTATTTTGAGGTTTGCTCACCGAGTCAGATATCCTTGTAGGCCTATATTTTTGTATTGCGATGTAGTCACTAGAAGTAAAAAAACATGTATTAATTTATGGTGTTAATGACAGGAATCCCTAAACATATCACCAACTATGGCCCGCCTGCAGAGTCTTCGGCGAATTATCGAGGAAATACGAATGTCGCTGATGCTATTAAGATACCACTTAGTAGGAAGGGTAAGAGAATTTTTGCAATAGAGTTATAATTTTATGATACCATTGTCTAAGAAGAAATTGTACAAAAGTGGGCCTTTTTCTAAATTCAACTACTCGGAAACCATGGAAAGCTGAAGAACGAAAATAGAAACAAGAGATTTTTTTAATTTTTTTCTGAACCGCCATTCTATTTTTATTTGATTTTTGAAATGTATTTAATACATTACGGTAGTCATTTTGTTAAAACAAAGAAATACCGTTTAAAAAAAAACATTGGACCGCTAGTAATAATTTATTTATACATATCTTACTAATATTATGAATGCGAAAGTTTAGATAGATGGATGGATAGATGTTTGTTAGCGTTTGTAGCCTAAACGGCTGAACGGATCTCCATGAAATTTGGCACAGGTTTAGAGCATAGTCGGGAAGAACACATAGGCTACTTTTTATCCCGGGAATAGTTACGGTTCCCGTGGGATTCATTAATTTAGTTTTTACTCGATCATTCTGCAACGGTCCAACATATCTTATTGAAATTTGGCACAGATATAAAACAAAGTCTGGAGTACACATGGGATAAGCTTCATGCCCGAGATATGTCCGGTTCCCGAAGGATTCGTAGTTTTTTGTAATTCATATAGTTCGTAAGTTTTCTCATACCACGCGGACGAAGTTCCGGGCAACAGCTCGTAATAAATAAATTCGAAAGAGACGTTTTTAATTCTGGCTGTATATTAAAAGTGCTGCTGCCATATATTTTCTTTAGAAGCTGTCGGTCAAAAAACGACATTAGCTGTCATGCTTTGATTGACATTGTCACTTGCCTTGACGAGAATTCGTTTCCACTGTCGTAAACATTCCTATGTTATTATTATTATTTCTTATGAAGCTACCCATTTTAACTCAAACCATTTTTTTGTGGTGTGGTGAGAGTATCAACTTCACATGTATACTGGCGAAAATGGCTCCAGCTTTGTCCGAATACCCGACTAGGTTGAATAGAGGCGCCGTCATCGGATTAAAAAATACGGCGACCACCGTATGACAATGAAAACAATTTCTTCTGTGTTTCCCACAAGTAAACGATGCTACCAGGATTAAATAACTTTAAAGTGTCAATTAAAAAAACAGCGGTGTCTAAAATTTCTTTTTTTTCTATTTTAATTATCTTTACAATTCTTCTATCTATCTATATCTATATCTATCTCTACACATAATGAAAATGGAGTGTCTGTTATACCAAAAAGAAATTCCAATAACGAAAATCGCATTTAAAATGTTTTGTCTGTCTGTCTGTCTGTCTGTCCGCGTTTATTCCGGGTAATCTCCGAAACGGGTGGACCAATTTGGACGGAACTTTCATTGGAAGGTAGCTGTTAAAAAGTAGATGCACACGGGTATATTCAGCGCAAACAAAGTTTGCGGGCGACAGCTCGTTAGAAATAATTTTAACTCCTTGGTTGAGATAGAAACTGTTTTAGATAGTGGTTTTGCGGAAAACCTGCTGTGAAATGGTATTAATGTCTATATGTCACTACACTTAATAAAATTGGAGTATCTATGTTGTATCGAGAATTAGCGAAGATCGGTATTAAAATTTTTTTGTCTGTGTGTCTGTCTGTCCTTAAGCGTTTTTTACGCTTTTGTTTTGGGGAATCACACACATGGCTTTGACAGTGGAGACGCACAGTTAGGGGAAATATCCTGTTTATGTGCGTCTCCTCTTCCGTCAATTAAGGGTAGGCAACGCATTTGCAATTGCGGATGTCTATGGGCAGCAGTCGCTTCACTATTTCGGCGGATTAAGGTGGCCGCTCGTTTGCCACCTTCATAATATAAAAAAAGAAGTTTTTGGACGACAGTTTGTCATATAGTTTAAAATATTGAAATAACATTACTTTTAATTTGTAGCGCGTCGGAAATCCTCTAGAGCCAAGACCGTCTACCTCTGGTGCCAGAATGAGCAGTCGAGATGATCAAAGACGAGAGGAAGAACTCCACGAAGCTATAGTTGCGATGGAACCGATACCCAGCTATATGCTCGAGGTGATTTAACATTTGGATTGTTTCTGAAGCCAATGAATACTTTGATATCAGAAACACATATTTACATGATTATCAGTCGGTTTTTAACTTACGGGAATCAATGCGTAGCTATAACTGGTCTGTTAAGATATTAGAAAAGCGTAATAAACAGTTATAATTTATTACTTCATCATGTTGCCTGTAATAGATGATAGATGAGGCTTGATAACTAAATTTTGTTCTTTAAACTTTTTCCTCACTAACGTATTTTTATTCATTGCGTCATCTGTACAAGTCTAAACTGGTCATTTTTTTTGTATGTACTGTATTTAGTGAGTGTTTTGTGTAGGCTTCGCCGGCTTATCAACGGCACGTCGAAGACATAGAAGGGGTGGTGGAGAGAGCGGACAATTTCGCCTATGGGTAAGTTTATCTATAAAAATGCTTTTTTATAAATTAACTAATATCGACTTGTGTGTAACAAGTCTCATTGAAAGGTACAAAAAATGTGAAGAATTTTTTTTGTAAATAGGCCGCGACACGGGACGCAACCCGTAGCTGCCACCCCGAGGGAGCTGGCTGTTCTGATGGAGGAACTGGAATTACTCCACTTTTTATTCGCCAAGCACCGCTCCAAGTACATCGATCTTCTGATGGCTGCCGACAACTATCCTGTAAGTACTGAAAAAAAATTGTATATTTTTGTTTACCTTAACCTAATTTACTTTATTTTGCCACAGTACATACAAATGAAAATTTATATAAATGGGAAAGTGCAATGTAATAAAGGGCAGCTGTAGGCCAGTTTACTTATTTGCATATTTATTGTAATTGTTATCGATAAAGAGGGTAGTTTGAAAGGGGTGATCTCAAGGTCATAGGGTATATTATATTGAGACAAAACATCAAAAGTGGCTGTGATACGTTAAATTCTATAGATATGTTAAAAATACGAATTCAACTCGTTTAAAACGCAGCCATTGACAGATGGCGCTGTTTTATATTAGTCTGTTTTATACTCGGTTTATTTTGCATTTTTAAGAAGGGTACAAAAACTTCATTCATATGGTAGGAAATAGCTAGGTTGCCATGGTTACTCAATTCTTCAAGAGCAAGGGCTTTAGGTGTCATTTGAGCGTTTGAATTTTGACAAGTTTTCCGTAATATTAACAACTTAATGTTGTTCGCGACTTTGCTTGCGTGAAATTAAAAAACAATAAAAACAACTTTGTAACTCACAGTTATGGAAGCTTTTTAATAGTGAAAGAATTGAATCTGCCTTGGAGGTTCTCGGCAACACGTTGGAAGGAAAATATAAAAATATCTTTGATTTTTTTACAATGTCTCCCCATTAGTAAACAGTAATGTACACTTGTATATTTGTTAATCTGATTTTATTTCTTTATTTATCTATCTATACATGTAATAAAATTGTAGTGTCTGTAATATCAAAAGAAAAATTCCAGATTGCGTTGCTGGTATTGAAAATCGCAATTTTTTTGTCTGTTTGTCTGTCTGTCTGACTGTTCGCAAGCCGCGTTTTTTCCTGACAATCTCCAAAACGGCTGGGCCGATTTCGATGGGACTTTTACTGGAGGGTAGCTGATTTAGACGGGCAAATTATAGGGCATATTTTTTTTTAACTCCGCACTGTCAAAATGGCGACCAGACCATCCTGGAATGAAGTAGACGGTCATTTTTTTAATTCCACGCTAAAGTTTGCGGTCAACAGATCTTTCATTTTATAAAAACAGACTTTTAAGTGCTAAAGTTTGAACAGTGACTTGTATTTGTCCAGCCCCCGAATCCCACCAATGAGGAGAGGGCATTCCAGAGGCGTGGGATAGAGCTTACCCGCTCTATAATGCACAGCTTCGGTCACGCTTTTCACCTGATAAGTGATATCACCTTCCACTTTGCCTCCCCGGAGCCACACCTCACCTCGGAGTCACAAACCACTTCACCAACTGTGTCCCAAGGATTACCAATTCACGTAAGTAATACATCGTAATAAAATCATTCATTTTTCATTTTATTTGTCTTAAAATTTCAATTTTTAAATATTAGTGGACATTTCAACAAGTTTTTAAATTTTATTGACTACTAGCTGTTCCCATGCGACTTCATTCGTATAAAATTATGAAAATTGTTTAATTGATTACATTTGTCAAATTCAATTGCAAATGTCAAAACGACAGACATGACATGAATGCAAAGCATGGCAATTTTGCTTCCTTGATGTTGGCAGCAACTTATGGTCTCTTTCCCACATTAGGGTTTTTATCCAAAATTTACCCACTAAGTTTATTGGCTTGAAAATATATAGCCTAAGCCTAAAATATAAAGCGTGATGTTAAGTGTAGGGCTTTTTATTAAAAAAAGAATTATTCAAAAACATGCTGTAATTGCTGACATCTTAGGCAATAAAGAAGTGTGTGTTTACGCTTTATTATAATAGTATAGATTGTAATTTTAATTTTCAGAAACTCTTGTCAACTTTTGTACCTTAGTTTTTGTCATTTCAGCAAATCTAGTATTTTAGATATTTTAAAAAACAAAACTGTGATATAAATTTGATGAGATAACCAAGCAACTATTACTGTATTCATACTTGTTAGTTGTATTTTGCTTTGGACAATTGGCACTGGAATGACTGGTGTATTTTGCAGACGGTGATCAACTTGGTGCAACCGGAACGTTCCAACCTTGGTCCGGTGTACATCCCAGCTGACAGTGATGAGGTAATGGAGGAACTGCAGGCTTCAGCGGTAGCGGCACTCCAAGCGAGGAACCAAGGTATTGTATCTTACTAATATTGAAAATGCGAAAGTTTAGATGGATGGATGTTTGTTAGAGTTTGTCGCCTAAACGGATGAACGGATCTCGATGAAATTTGGCATAGACGTAGAGGATTGTCTGGAAGAACACATAGGCTACTCACTTTTATCACCCGACCGGAT